AGTGAATTTGAAGAGGGGGGCCTCATCGGTGAGACTGAAGGATTTTTTCTCCATTCAAGACCAAGTTGTTAAATCCAGAGCATATCAAAATTAATTACGGGTCAGCAAATTGACAGCAGATGTCGCCAATACAAATCTACCAACGAGTCAATCCAGCTTAATTGCTGTAGATGCCCGGCATTAGCTCAAATAGAATATCTTAAGAGACCTAACTGTTATTCACCAAGTCCGTGCCAAGACATACGACATAGAGAATGGGCAACCTTATTAATAGCGCAAGCCAGAGAAAGTACTTAGCAATAATCAAGATCGATTTCTGTAGAAAAGAATATTACTGATGGAACAGAAGAAAGCAAATAGCCAGATATTGTACTGTTTGATAAAATATTTAAAACATCATGCATCATTGATGTTGCTGCCTCTACAGATAACAGGCTTGTAACAACTGTTGCTGAAAAAAGAGGAAATACCAATCCCTGGCTGTTGAAGTGAAGGACGTTAATGGATTGCACACAGTGGATGTGCTTCTAGCAGTGTCAGCAAATGCATTGATCAGCAAAGACTGACAAGAGACCGCAAGGAAATTAAAACCAACTGAGAAGCATTTTCGGACCATCCAAAAAGCTGCAATATTGGGAACAGCAAACATAGTGCGTAAATTCATATGACTGAATTGCCGCATATAAAACAACAACCATCTTCTTGCTCCACTTTGTGCAAATTATTGTTACCTTGGGTGGTTTTCATAACCTCGTCATCAGAGTATATCCCCAGAAAATGGGAAATAATAAGACCAATAATAATAACAATGTTAATAATAATTATAATAATAAATAACAGTAACTCAGTTACAAGAGAACGAATACAAATAATCGAATTTTATTTCAGTGAGGTAATCTTAGTAATAAACTTGTGCAGCATTAAATATTTGTTGCTAAGAACTAACAATATAGCACTATTTGGAAAGTAACATTACTTTACGTGAAGTTTACTTAAATAAATGAATAATAAATGTAACTGTTAATTACTAAATAAACATTAAAAATACAAATACATCTATAACTTGTAAAAGGTGCTTGTGTGTTGTGGTGCCTCACCTGCCTGGCGGCGCGCCCGAGAGGTCGGTGAGGCGGCGGGCGAGGCGGGGCGGCAGCGCGCGAGCGCGCGAGCGCCGGCGTGGGGGCGGCGCGGGGGCGGGGGCGCTGGAATGCGCCGCGCTGTTGGACTGAGGATGCGCGAGCGGGCCGGGCGCGGCGAAGCGTCGGCGTGGCGGGCGCCGCCGCCGCGGGCCCCGCGCGGATCACCCCGGCGCTCGCCGACTTCTGCAACCTACGCGCACACAAGCGCCGCTGCCGTTGGTAAGGGCTGCGCTGCGAGGTTGAGAAGATATGGCTGGGTTGCCGGGTTCTGGATTAGGTGGGGAGAGTGCTGTGCTCACTCGAAGCAAGTCACGCGTGCTCGTCGGAGGAGCGAAATATTGGAGAGGTAAAGCCTTTAGCAAATATCGGGCCAATGTTCCATCCTTAGAGTGCAAATGTTGTGATATATAAAAATATACTTTCCTCACTTTTTAAAATCGACTAATATATTTGTGGCTTTAAAGGAAGGAACCCTTCACGTTTTTCACAAAATCGAATAGCTTTATTTTCAGTTTGCCGAAACAAGAGTCCCTCATTTAGAGTTGAATTTTAATTCTGCGCTTCCTTACGGCGCTCCATTAACTTTAAATGTCTGTATTATTTTCTCTACTTCCCCTGTTTCATCCAGCCTCCTTCGTCCTGCTTCCATTCCCCCTCCCCTCTCTTTCTCACGAATTATCACGTGCGCCATTTATGTTACTTACCACGAACGCTCATTTTATTTCAAAACATTCATAGATCAGCATTATCGTCACCATATGCATTAGACTCATCAGAGGCGGGTGCAGAGTCCCATAAGCGCGGGTTTGAGTCTCTGCCTGAGCGTGGATATCGTTCCTTTGCTTTCGTTGTGTTGTGTTGCAGAGAACATAGAGTTTGCTAACCTTGGATCCGAAGAACCTTCTAGAGAGCAGTCTAATGCCGGATTTCTCTGCAGGCAATTCTCCAGTCATGTCTGTCTTGCATATATAGTTTTTTTTTTGACAAAACCTTCAAACCAATAACGAGTCAACAATACATTAAAATGCAGAATTGAAAAAATACCATTTTATTCAATGTAGTTCACGATAGAAGTAGTCCCCACATTACTTCCTAGTACACTGACCAAGAGGATAATTTTACATAGCCATTAGCGTACACTTAAGGCTAATGGGGAATCTGACTAATTCGAGAATTAGCGTCACTATCGCACATTATCCAAATATGTGAAGTTCGAAATAGTAAGAGCTTTGAAGTTCATTTCGTATTTTATCTGGCTGAAGAGCACATTAGACGATACGAGGTGGTAAGGCAAGTGAAATATATGAAAATAAAAATTACATTTTGACATGTAATAGTCAGTAACTAATCTACTATCTGGAGACGTGCGCGTCCCAGCAGAGGGACGCAACATTTCGCCATCGAGCCTTTGACCTTTCCTCGGGCAGAAATGCCAGTACTAGACACTAAACTAATCTCAGACTGTCGTTATACACTGATTTGAACGTTAGTGGCACTTCAATGCCACGAGCTGGAGAGACAGAGGGACCACAACATCTCGACCGATCGGGAGTTTCGTACGACTTAGACTTTTGGTATTGGAGCTCCCGATTGGGCGGCAAAGCCCCTTCCGGTAGTGCCGTTGAAGCGCCAATTGTGTTGAGAGCACTCACCGAGGGCAGCCCTGCTGCAGCGCGCGGCGCACCTCCTCTGTAAGCGCTCCCGTCTTGCGCGACGCGCGCGCTCGGCGGCCGGCGACCGCCACGCCACGGGCGAGCACTGCGCTGGCGGCTGCGCTACCCGGCCGACCGCCTCGCCCTCGCGCCCGCCCCCGCCCCCGGCGCCACCCGCGCCGCCGCCCGCGCCGCCCTCCTGCGCCGCGCTCAGCTTCTGGTTGTACTTGGCGATCATCATGCGGATGGACGGCGCCGCCTCTTTCGCAGGCACCTGCGAGCAAAGCAGAGGTGTACGACATGGCCGACCACGGGAGGGGACGCTTAAAATGAAACTGATGTGAAAACAGACTTATGAAAATGTACATGTAATTTGTTCAGATATCCCATTAGGTAATGTATTGGGTTAACGGAAACACTAACTGATGATTTCAGCCTCTATGCCATTTCCTCCTTAACCATTTAGTTTGTAACACAAATAACAATGTTCTACGTGTATTTCACGATACTATAGCTATCATCTCGATTTAAAATTTCGATGAAGTCTGAAATGAATCAATGAGTATATATTATATTTTCTGAAAATAGCATTGTTTGGCGTAGTTTCACTGTAACACTGTGCATCATTTCCTTTTCAAGGTTGCATCCCGAATTTGTAGCTGGAGGTCAGACGTATAATGTAATACAAAGGGTTCCAAACAGAGCTCTGCTGAATTAGTTATGCATCTGTATGAAAAAACCACCGCAAGCCACTTCTGATAATATATTCCAAAACGTTTCTTCAATTTAATAAATGACATTAATTACAATTGTAAATAAATAATTTCTAATGAAATTTTGGTTCTCTGATTGTAATGAGAATGCAATGGTAAAATAAGTTTAAAAAAGTACATTTCTTATTTAACGACTTTTGTACATTATCGTGATAGAATTATTTTCCTACTATACCTTACAGCCGTTTAACTATACCTTACCTACTATACCTACCTACTATACCTTGCAGCCTCAGTAGCCACGTTTTACATCACCTCATCAGAGAAACATGTTTATAAAAATCGAGTTATTTTAAAAGATTATTAGAGAAAAATACTAGAAATTTTCAAGATTTCTTGACACGAATTACATAAGCTAAAGAAAGGGCCCTTTGGAAGTTTTCCTCATTTTGGAAAATTCTCAGCTTTGAATATATCTCATTGGTACTTACGTTTTTAAAGCCCTGTTTCGGTGATATTCACACGAGTAGTTTGAGCGCCCCTACCTTGAAGAGGTCCCGGCGTCCGGGGGACCGAGGCGCACGGCGGAAAGCCTTGCCGATGGTCGAGGGCGCAGGGGACTGCTGCGGGCGCACGCCCGGCGCCCCCCCACGCCCGCCCCGCGCCCGCGGGCGGCCCTCCTCCGAGTGTGGACTGGTTGAGCGCTCTCTGCTGCCCGAGAGGGCTGGCGCTGGCCCGCCCCCCCCCGCCCCGCCGCCGGCGTCCTCGCTGCCCCCGCGCCGCCGAGGCAGCGCCGGCGACGACGACTGCGACCGGCTGCGCCGCAGCATCCAGCAGCTGGCCGCGCCGCCGCCCGGCCCGCCTGCGCCACAGGGACAATCTCATTTCCCAAGCAGGGGCTACACAAGTATCTCGGGGGAGGCGAAGTCTTTAGAAACTTCTGCAACACGTCATCGCTTTTCTAGGACACTATCGTAGGTAGCACATAACACCGAAATTTAGGTTTTTAAGGTGAAATTGACAAAAAAGATAACTTTTTTGTGAAAAAGTCTGTATTCCTGAAGCTATACCGATTGTCACTAAATGGCAAATACATCGTTACCTCAAGGGTAGATATGGGCGTATTTATTTTATGGATTAATATTGCAACTACAAACTCAGCAGCGAACCCCGGAAGCGATAAGTAGCAATTGTTGTCTATAATATTGTTTTGGGGATTGAGCGTTACATTGGTGACAAATGTTTTAACGAACACCGGTGCATTTAGAATTGAATTCTTCAGTGGACTACCATTCTTCCACCCACATTTCATGGATAGTTAGTAGAAAAGTGATGCAAAAACGTTATTTCCTTCTACTTTCGAAAATAACACCAAAATCGGTGTTTAAAAAATTTTAATGCATTAAAAAACAAAGAAAAAATTTTTAATCTAATTTTCAAGGCGGTATTACTGATCCTCGATTAATGAGAAAGTTGGATTTGTGGAATATTTATAATTATTTTGAATCTCTTAAACAAAATAAGTTGTTTTTATTACAACAGTGATCCAGAAAAGCGTAGATACACATTCTGAGTCTATATTTTCTTTATACTAAGCATTAATAGCATTACCGATATATGCCATTTCTTAAAGTCAATTATAAAAACCATTATATTAACTCTTTTTAATTTAATAAACTATTAGACAATATACTGGTTTCTGAAAAATGCGCGGACCCTTAAGAAATTATCCTGACTCCTGGTCACAGGAGTGATGTGAAGGCAATTCACAAAACTTGTATTCTCCATTTCTAATTTCAAGAAGTAGCTCTACGACTACAAACCATTTTGTGCAGTAACAAGAAGTTAAAAGTCGAAATGAGAAGATTGCTCTACCGCTTTAGCTCTGCTCTTTCGCTTTAGGTAGTTAACGTTTTCATGGGGTTATGTCTATAATTTGGAAATTTTTACACAAGTGATCTCTTTATCTATATTTAACATAATGAATTATTTGCGAAGGTTAATACTCGTAAGTCCATAGGAAGCGTATCGCTCCCGACCCACGAAAGCGCAGTCATCCGTGAGAACAGCGGAAGACTCCCCGTCCGCAGGAATCCTGTCCCAAAATAGGGCCACTTAACGGGCGGAGGAACGAATAGTCCCGGCGTTCTTCTCTCAACAATGAGGCTTAAGGAAGTCTAATGAATGACGCGGAACGAATGCCGACGCACGCCTCTACGGCAGAATCAACAACGACGTGCGTATAAAAAGCCAAAACGGCAGTAAACGGCTCTTAGTTCCTGAAATACCACCTACGTTTCGTTGGTGAACGCAGTTTGTATTGGCTCCACGAAACTGATTTTATTTATGATTTTAAGATTTTTGCGGGAAAAACGACGGACTGTTCGCGAGTTATTTCTCTCGTTCAATCAGTTTGTATTCAATGAAAATTAATGTTCATTTTCCTCAGTCAGAAACATAAAGAAAACTTTATATTTCGAACAACCAGGCATTTAGAGACTGTTCGTGGAGTAAGTGCTAGTTTTTGCCAATGAATTCAGACGTTTATTACTTTCGAAAGAGCGCCTCACAAATGAAAAATATAACTCTTTAGTTCGGCTGCTTGTATATTCAGAGGATATTATTTGTACAAATAAACAATTGGTTGAAGTCCCTTTCTTCCTTGTTCATGTGTCATTTGCAACACTAATATTTCAATGTTGATGTTATTGTGAAGATACATGCACTTTAATCTTTGAGTTCGTGATTTTGTTGTTCCCAAAGTAGTTGAGTAGTTTCTTATATTATTACATGGCGAATTAAAAAATACTTAAGAAAATAATTAGCAGTGTAGCCAGATTTTGATGAAACGTCTTATTATCTTTCTAATGATTCCCGAACGGTTTCGACAAAATTTGTCTTCCAACTACGTGCTAGTTTTAATTAGTCAAATTGTTTGTTGATAAGAATATCGAATACTTAGTTAAATAGTGCTAAAACGTGAACATTTTCAAGAAATAATTAAATCTTATGGTTGTTATATAAATATCCAAATTAAATGTTATGAAATGGGATTTCATGTTTTACCAGGCAAATTAGCTTAGGACTATTCCCTTTCTGTGTCCTTTTGGTATACTAATAGATTACTAATGGACTACACATACTAATGAATTAAAACCCTAATTTTTCAAAATCATCCATACTTTTCGAAAAAAAAGAAGTTACTGACATATTGATGAAAACATACAGATTTATTATATTTATACGTGAGTTTATCGTTGAATGGTTATCCTTTATTGACCGAGGTTGCTCCTGACCCGTGCACCGGATTCGAGTACTTGTCTGAACAGCTTTTCAACCCCCTATAGATAGTTCTGCATTATATTATCAGTTTATAAACGGTCCATCCACCCACACCCAGATTCTGAAACTTCGGTTAGTATAGAAACATGAAGCGAAAATTTTGATATGGAGTACCATTCATGGATGTTTATATACAAATATAATTGTGTTGTCTTTCATACCCGTGCAACGGATTCGAGTACTCACCCGCGCGAGTGCTGCGCGCCCCTCCTCCGCCTCTTCGCCCCGCCCTGCCCAGCGAGCCGCTCACCGGGGGAAGGCGGCGCTGGGGGACACGGGGGCGCGGGGGCGGGGCGGGGCGGGCGAGGCTCTCGCCCACCACGTACCGATGACGGACGACGCCTTCCCTTGCGTCTCGCCCCCACGTCGAGAAGATCTGCCGCGTCGTCTGCACGAACACGTTGGCCGCGGAGGTGTCGCCGGCCTCCGCCAGGGGCGCCGCCGGCGCCGCGGGCAGCGTCGCGCCGTCCGCCTCCGTCCTGCGCAAGGGCGCGCCGCGGATCAATCCTGTTGCCATATGTAGTAAATTATTTCCTCGATCAACTTGAGCCGTCAAAATCCACGGAAACGAAAAGATGGTTTACGGCATATCGTATGCCTGTCCGTCCGTCCTTCCCACTGTGGCCAGCTCTACCGTCTAAACCGTTCGAAAGAATTTCCACACGCTCCGATAAACCCCGAACGATCTGAACGAACCCAAGGCCCTGCGAATTTGAAACAGATTTTTTGATTTCGGGAATTGTACACAAGGTATTAACATTTTCAAAAGTCTCTTAACTCTCAGATGAAAATTTTCCTCGGGTAGATCAAAGGACACAAAAAATAGTGTAGAACTCACTTTTCGCAAAATTTAAAAGTTTCATATAACGCGTGAAAGTATGTTGTGTGATGTTGTAGCACAAGCATTTTTATTTCAACTCTCACTCAATTTTTTCCTGGTGTATGCGTATTTCGAAGGTGTGACAATGTTCTACTGATCAATTCTCATAATGTGAATTGGTGAATTGTTGCACATGTATATCTTCAGGTGACGAGTAATATCCGCAAATTCCACGTGTTCTGAAGGGTGTATTGTTGTGTAGCTTTTAATTAATAAAAGGCGTGTATCTTTTTATTTATCAATTATTTACAAAATATTTCAGGTCCATATTCACACCTCTCATGGTTATTCGAATCTCGGTCACTGTAGATGGGAAAATGAGCGTAAGTCAGATCGCGGAATGTTTTCTTCGGATTCTCTTGTCTCTATCATATGATTAATAATGTCATATTATGTTCAATCTTCGGGTATTCATCCCAGTTTTGGAACGCCCACGCGCATGGAAATGAGGCACGAGAGAAAGGAATTTCAAGTCAAAAGTATCGATGGTGCAGATCTCCAGACTATCATGCCGCTTATTTCTTCGTTAGTCTTAGAGACCAATATGACATCTCCAATCATGCACGGAAAAAGCTATGAAAGAAAGATTTTCAGTTTGGAGGAACAGTGAGGAAGCATGTCTTCTTTACTTTTCATTCCACTACATATCTTCAAGGAAATTCGTCTCAATTTAATGATCCTGTTGCATTCAAAGAAACAAGCAAATAACCCCAAGAACATGCAATTAAAGAAAGAAATATCATCCATCTACTTAAAAGTAAGGCAAGGCAAGGTAAAACTAGAGTCTCTTACTTCTCTTAGAAGCAGAAGGGAGACGATATTCAAACGTGGGAGTGAGACAATGATGTAACTAGCGGAAGATCTGCGCATCAATTTCTACGGCAATGGATAACAAGGTGATGGGAGAGAAAGCAGTGTGGTCCACAGATGCGATATTGGTTCAAGATGTCTGAGCTCATGCGACACTAGGTGTCTAGCCTTAATTTTAGGTGTTTAGCCTTAATTTCAATTGCGGTGTTGTTGGCTGTGCCTGTAATTCACATTGCTGATATGGACTAGCTGGTCGCCATTCAGATGCACTATGCACAACCTACGAATGGCTTCATATATACGAGAAGTTAATCTATAGCACAGTATAACTGTCATTGCCTCTGTATCATCGTTCACCAGGAGGTACTAGGGTTTGAGTCCCGACGGAGGCGGTTATTCGACACTAGTTAAGTAGCTTGGTCGAATTCTTACGCTGAGTGGAAGATAATTATAACGGCCGGCTGCACTGAACTTTCTCATTGTCTCTCCGATCCTTTAAGATAAAAACCGGAGCAGTACTTTCACAAATGGGCAAACAACCGCGCGCCATCTTTCTTTCTTTCTTTCTTTCTTTCTTTCTTTCTCATCTATGTTCCACTTCCCTTCCCTTACATACACACACGTACACACATGTACATGCTCTTCACTATCACACACGTTTCGAGAGACCAATCGGGAACTTAAATCGTGTCCCAGTTGATGTAGTGTCCCTCTAGCGGAGATATATGATGAGGAAAACCTGCAAGGCGACATCCAGGTCCGCATCGAATACCTCGTTCCAGCGGTGACGGAAAACTGTCACTTCCCAGGACAAAACACGCTCTACGCTGAGGAGACTAGTGACCTTCGTAGCTGATGCACCTGTTATCAACACTCACTATCTCACTTGCTATTGTTTGACGGCGGGAACCTATTACTTTTGTACGGGATGGGTTTAGCTCAAAATCAGCATTTTTGCTGACACCGCAGGAATTCTGTCTGGGAAGTCCTAGGGTTCAAGTTCTGATGGTGGTGAATTTCTGATACTGGCTACATATGTAAGTTGAATTCAGCTGCTCTCAGAAGAACTCAAGTGCACTATGGGCACTATTCGGTAGTTTTCCACGGTTTCTCTGATCAATACCCAGCGAATCCTCCTTATACACACATACACTCACATGCAGTATACTACTACACATGTGGGGAGAACAGTGAGGCGTTTAATGCTTGTCGCGGCTGGAGCAGTGTCCCGCTAGGGGGAGATACCTGAATGGGAATCACACGCAAGCTGGGGCCGCATCACACTAGCTACTGGAGGAAAGAACAACACCATCTCCATAGTCCAAACGAGCACAGCTCTAAAGGGACTAGTGGCCATAGCAGAACATCACACCAGTCAGTGGGGAAGGAAAACAGCCATCTCCAGAGTCGAAAGCGCTGCTTCAAAGGGACTAGTGCCGTGCGCGGGACCGCTTACCTGTGCGCGTCGTGCGGGGGCGGCGAGAGGTCCCCGGAGGCGCTGCGCGCGGGGCGGTCGGGCGCGCTGGCGTAGCCCACGGTGGAGTCCGAGATGCGGCGCGTCTTGAGCAGCTTGCGCACGCGCGCTGCGGGCACGCCCCCCTTGGGCACCTCCGTCTCGTAGAAGGCCCTGGGCGGCGCCGCCCCCGCGCCCTCCTCGCCCGCCGCCTCCGCCGCCGCCGCCTCCGCGCCGCAGCTCGGCCGGCGCACCGTCGTGCCCGTGCTGCAACGCGCACGCGCGCGCTCACACACTGCCCCACGCGCCGACGGGCGAGCGTTTTTACCTAAGTCATCGACCCGCGACCCGCTGTGTTTGGGACCGAAGACTTACGAAATATCAAGTGCCCAATTTAGAAAAATGATACATTTTATTATTCTGAACACTTCATTGTAATGTGAAGGTGTATGTTGTTTCAAAACCGTTTTCAAAGGGTTACAAGGTAAAGATAAGTTGTCTATTTCAATTCCACAAAATAATCGTTCTTGTAAAATATGTTGCATCCTTCTTGAAAACTGTAACCTGCCTATTGCATCTGTCATATTGATGATGATGATGATGATGATGACGATATGATGATCACATTGCTACCTCTTCTTGTTATGCCTATGTTTCAGATAATAATTTTCAAGTATCTACGGTTGTGTATTCTTTTAAAAGGGGTGATGTGATGATTTAAATCAGAGAAACCAAGACTTCTTTAATTTTCTCCATAAAAATTCAAATTATTCCATTGCATTGCTCATTTTCATTTTCGCTACATTCAAAAATGTTCTGTATTATTATGATAATGTCGAAAATAGTTTGTTTAAAACAGAATGTAGTATCGTATTTGCCCTCATGAATTCCCAGCACTCATATCAATTGTGGGTCAGAGTAACACGTGTTTCATTAGTATAGCGACGAAATAGGCATAAGGGAAAACGCAAACAAACATTTTTACTTGGGGGAAAATATACACCAAAACATTGTAAGTCGAGAGCAAGAAACCACGACTAACGTCACAAACTTACCTAAAAAGGAAAAATGCTAAATGTAAAGTACGATGCTTTATTCTATAGTATTCAATTGTTAAACAAAGTGTAATGGAAAATATTTCACTTACACTTTTATTTAACGAAAATGATCACGATTTCTTTGCATTTATTGTCGTATTATGGAATGCACATGCGTTTCGGCGATATGAGTAATTCATTTAAGAAACAGTATCGTAATAATGAAGTATTGACATTACAGAAAAAAGTTTAAAGAAAAATAACTACATAGAAAATTACAAGGAAGTGTACAAAAGGAACAAAGTGACACTCGTAATATGAGCACCATCATACCGTATATATTTAATGAAACGCTGATTCGTGATTTACATGCACACCAGCGAGTAAAAAGAAGGAAGAATGTTTTGAAACCTTCCTTTAGCCCAAGCGAGATGCTTCAGCGCTATAGATGATTGATATCATGCTCTCTACTCATGCACAAAGAGGAGAAACATTCGAATGCAAATTTTTCTTCATGCGGATATCAGCTGTGTAACAGATAGGAAAAGAAGGATGGAAGAAATGAAAGATCACCACACCCAAATAATTTGTGATAAACCTTTATTTCTACTATTTGAAGAACAAACATTTGGTTAATCGAATAATCATAAGAATAGATTCAAGCAGTACATGCAGTGCAGCAAAAGCAATAACGCAATTGGAAGAGAAAACAATTCTGTTGTTTGTGATCCAGCTGCCTTGCCTCGTTCTAAACTTATGCACGAATTTATTATTGTTTTACTTCACTTCATTTATCTCTTTGCGAATAGATTTATTATTTGTATGTATAATATTAATCGGTATACATGATGTACGACACAACCAGTCCAAGTAAATGAAACTGCATAGTTATGAATTTACGATGCTGTCAGACATTCGTTATGTGTATTTATCTGCTTTCTTCGAATATATAGATAGAAATACTTTTAGTATTGGTTTCACCTTTACATTCTATGTTAAAGGTATCATCAGCTAACAACGAAAACGTATTGAAAAAAAATTGCAGTATTGTTTGCAATTTATAAAAGAGCTATAATCATTAGATCAATTATTCCTAACCAATGAACGAGTTTTAATATTATCGTATATTTATTTGATAAAACATTTTCCTTAAGAATTATAAATGGTCACTATGGAGTAACATGCTGATTTTATGTACATTTTCGTTTTGAAGTTTTAGCCATCTATTCATATATAATTAAATGAAAATTTGAAACATAAAATTAAAACTTTTATTTATTTCACGCATTTAAAATATATCTTCGCGATTGTTATACGTTGACCAAAGTCACTCCGCCTGATTGCCTGGTTCGGAACACCACTTGATCGTTTGGGATTTTTACATTTCTTTTACCACAAAGGAGATCAAGCGTAATTTCATTTATCGCTGCTTTGTAATGAGGAAACGTCCTATTCCTGACTTGTATCTATTGCAGACGTATAAATCACTTACACAAAATTATGAAGAAATGGGTGAATAGTACGAAACTATTTTATAGAAAGATGGAATAAAAAATAGTTTTATTAAAAATTAATTATTACTCAACTGTTTCATATCTTTTTGTACAAATAATATGCAGCGTGCAACTTCCAGGAATTTTACACTTCAGATAAATATCTAACTTTCTATTGCAATTAATCTGACAACGCGCAACAAAAAAAAAAAGTTCCCTCGCAAATTGATTGAAGTGGCAAATCCTTGTGCTGTCTAGCGTGCCGGCATGGGCTCGCTGTACGAATCTCTGGACAGTTCTAAATTTCACCCTAAAATGTTGCAGTAATGCAAGTAAAATTTGAAGTTATTTTCCATAACACTATAAAAGGTGTGAGCATGTGTATTTCAAAACTTTGAGAAGAAATGTTTGAAAAAAAAAAGAAATTCTTTAAAATTATACAATGGTATAGTGAGATTTTTTAAAAAAAACAGGCAGATAGGGTAACGTGGCAAGGCGTGGCGAGGGGGCGTGGCTACCTGTAGTCGGTCTTGTTGTCGTCGCTGTCGTCCGAGTCGTCCTGGCTGCGCGAGAGCTGCGGGCCGGGCAGGCGGCGCGCCGCAGGCGCCGAGGGCGCGCGCTCGCTCGCGTCCGAGTCGTCGCGGCCCTCCGTCTCCTCCTCGTCCTCCTCGTCCTCGTCCTCGTCCTCCGACGCCGTCGACGACACCGCCGAGCTGTAGCTGTGGCGAGCGGTCGGGTCGGGCGAGGACGCGGCGGCGCCGGCGGACGATGGCGCCGACGCCGACGCGGAGGAACAGGGGGCGGCGGCGGCGCTGGGGCGGCGCCAGAAGGCAGGCACCACGGTGACGGACACCGGCGACACGTCGCCCTGCCCCTGCGGTGCCGTCGCCGCCTGGCCGCCGGGCGCGGGTGGGGGGTTGGCCGCGCTAGGGCGCACGACGAAGGTGGCGGACGGTTCGTCGTTCTGCTCCGCGTCGTCGTGGGGCTCCGCGCTGCCGTTCTCTGCAGCAGAACAGTTCTTAAGCATTGGGTGTACCGTGTCACCGCGATTCTCGCGTGGCTTGGGCGCACAACACAAAGGTTTTTACATCTGGGAGTACTAGAAACGGCCATTGCGTAATGTACTTCAACAAATTAATTAAAGTTATTTGTCTCCAACGAGTTGCATGTACTTCCCAAATCAATGTCCTCTATGATTTAACGACAAATACTAATATATTGATTTGTCTAAAGAATATAGTGAATGGCTGGAATATTGTGATAATACAAATGCAGACTGGGGGGAATACCACTTCATATCGGCTAGTAAAATAAAAAAATAAAAAAATCATTTTCATAAAATAGAAAATGCTTTCGTTGAGTCAAGAAAATACTATAAAATCTCAGTTATGTAAAACTACACCAATAGTTACGATTTCTTTGGATCTAGAGGTAGCCAATGGCGGCTGCGATTGATTACGTTCGAGTGTCGATGATAAAGTAGTTGTAATCGCTTGTAAGCTTGGAAGCGAGCACTCACCTGCCGCGGCGGCGGTGCAGAGCGTGGCGAGGCCGCGCCGCAGCTCCAGCACCTTGGCGGTGAGCATGGCGGGC